CCCCAAAACCCCAAAACCCCAAAACCCCAAAACCCCTAAATATTATTCCTAAATTGAAAATGGTCAGACTGGTAATTTCAATACTCAGAAAATTGTTATAGAAGAAAATACTTTAGTTATTCTAACGAGACTAAGAATGGGAAGGGTTTTTAGTTACTAAGAATAATGATATTCTTATATAACAATAAGCATCGTCCAGTAAGTATTAGAGGTATCTTTTAGAATCCTCGATTCTGTTTTTTTTTAATCAAAAATCTTCACCATTTACTGTCTGAATGAGCCTTTATAACTGACTAGACCAGTAAGAGTTCCTCTTCCAAAAGGTGATAAGTGAAGGAATCGTTTCGCCTGGGATTGCTTTATCTGACTTCTTTGAGGAGTCTCCCGTACTGAAGACTCCAAAACAGGAGATGTCCTTTTGGATTTCTTCTGTCTTCTTTGAATTCGTTTACTTAGCTTCTCTTTTAAGAGCTATAAACTTTAAGCCTGCCAATTACGCTGTAGATCTTAACCATGTTCAGATTACAGTTCTTGTCGATGATTTTAGGGTCTTTGTACTGCAAGCCTTTCACAACAAATCTTTTGTGCTTATTTCTGATTGGATTTGTACTTTAATGATTTTATAAATCGCCCATTTTTATCGGTCGATGAAAGTTTGTTTTTATTATTCCTGTGAAAATTTATGGATGAAAAATTCATTAAATGTAATGAAGAGCAAAAATAATACCATTTCAGAATTTGTCTTATATGGTTCGGAATAGAAATAATGTGAGAGTAAAGTAGTAGCATACCTTTTATACCGATTTATTGCATGCTTCCCTAATTTACTGGGTGCTATCTGATTAGTTAAATACCATTTGATGTTTTTAGTAGGCATACAGTTCCTTCGACTGGAAAGATCTCCTTCTATATCTGATGGTTTTTGGATTATAAAATTGTTTTTAGTAGTCCTGCTACACCCTCTTGATCAACTTGAAGGTTGTCTACTATAATGCTGAGATCTTGGATTAGCTACTAAAATTAACCAAAAACCTACTTATAGCATGCCGGATAATGTAGCTACTTTCGATAGCTTCACAAGCAGGGGTCGCATAGTTTGCTGTCTGGCAGCCTTCATTAACCCTATATCCTCTATAATCTCCCACTCCTACCACTCCTCATTCCTAGACTCCAACTTCCCCACTTCCATTTCCCCTTCGCTCTCCTTCGCCTCACCTGATTCCTTGCTTGACCTCTTCTTGTGTTCTTTCCTCTTAATCCCCTCTTCCATTCCACAAAGGTAGGTAAATTCTTCACCATTTCTTCGATTCTCAGACTATAAAATCTGACCGTTAAATTACCTCTGAAGGCTGGTTTACATATTTGTTCAATATAACTCTTTTAATTCTCTCTTCGCTCTTCCTAGATTCCCCTGCTACTATCAGCTTTGGCTTACTTCTTACTTCTGTTATAGAAGAGATTTTAGGAATTTTTGGGTATTTGTGTGTGGACTTGGCCGGGTTCCTAGATTTGGTTGAGGAAGAATAAGGCTGGAAAGTACGTTTTTAGGATGAAGTTTGGGTCTTTTGTTTACTGAGCGAGGTTTGTATTTAGAGGAGAGTTTTGAGTGGGATAAAATGTTGGGAATTTTACGAGGATTTTTGAAGATCCGGTCGAAAGGTAGTTCAAGGTCTTGGTTTAGGTAAGAGGTGCCTAGAGATTATGAATGAGAGGTACCTTTTTTGGAGGAATTTTGGCCTCGAGGCTGAGTGTTCATGGGATTTAAGTGGACATAAAATTTGATCATATTCTCTTTTGAGAAAGACATTTTTATTGATTCTATAGTTTTATATTTTAAGGGGTTTTGGGGTTTTGGGGTTTTGGGGTTTTGGGG